TTGTTAAAGTTGATGGTGCTTTTTTTCCGGTGCGGTTGTTTGTACAGAGGGTATATAATTGTACCAACTGCAAAAGGCTGGGACACTCGGCCAGCCATTGCGGCAACAAAACTCGTTGTGGCAAATGTGGTGAAAACCACAAAGAGGATTCTTGCCACAAAGAATCAGTAAAATGCGCTTATTGTGGCGAGAATCCTCACCCCTTGCAGGAGTGCCCGATGTACAAGCAGCACTCCGATAAAGTGCAGCGTTCAATCTCTGGACGCTCCAAGCAGTCATATGCACAAATGGTGAAGGCTGCATCAGCCGTCCAAGATGAAAATCAATTTTCGATTTTGTCAGCTGAAGAATCGGACTCTGACTCATCCGATGAGGGTGACTCTACGGTGGTACACGCACCTTTGAAAACGAACGGATCCTCAAAACGAAAATGCTCCTCCCCGAAAGTGCGCCGTAAGAAAACTAAAGTCACTCCCAGAGGATTGCAAAATTCCCAGGGTAATGGGGATGAAAAAATTAAATCGAAGGCTCCTACTGCTCCACTTCCTGGCTGCAGTAAGGATTTTCCGCCATTACCCAACAAAGATAAGAAAAACAAAAAAGCTGCTCCTCAAACTTCTCAAAAGAAATCCAAGTCCGAACGAGGTTTGCTAGCTTTTTCGGACATTGTGGAATTCATATTAAATATGTTCAACATACAAGACCCTCTTAGAAGCTTAGTTTCTGCCTTGCTTCCAACACTAGAATTATATCTTAAGCAATTGACTGTTTCATGGCCCCTCCTTGCATCAATCATATCTTTCGATGGATAATTCGTCGAACGAGGTTGAAGATATGATCACTGTGCTACAGTGGAACTGCCGTAGTCTAGTGCCTAAGCTAGACTCGTTCAAATTTTTACTTCACAATTCTGATTGTGATATATTTGCTCTCTGTGAAACATGGCTTTCTTCCGATAAAGAACTCAACTTCCACGATTTTAACATTATACGCCTGGATAGAGACGATTCTTATGGAGGAGTACTTTTAGGGATCAAAAAGTGCTACCCTTTCTACAAAATTTCCCTTCCTGCTCTATCCGGCGTCGAAATCGTTGCTTGCCAAATAAATGTGAAGAACAAAGATCTTTGCATAGCTTCAGTATACGTTCCACCAAGAACCTCCGTTAGCCGTAGTCAACTCTGGAATCTAGTTTCGATTCTTCCATCCCCAGTATTATTTCTGGGTGATATGAACTCCCATGGTACTGGGTGGGGCGATCTATATGATGACAATAGAGCGGCTATTTTTTACGATTTATGCGACGATTTCAACTTGACTATTTTGAACACTGGTGAAGCGACACGTATAGCAAAACCTCCGGCTCGAGAAAGTCGACTCGACTTATCTTTGTGTTCAAGATCGCTATCACTGGATTGTCTGTGGAAGGTTATCAATGATCCCCATGGTAGCGATCATTTGCCAATCATCATTTCAATTAAGTGTGCCCCTCACTCTGCAGAACCATCTCGAGTTCCATTTGATCTTACAAGGAACATAGATTGGCATAAATATGCAACGGCGGTGACAATCGGTGTCGAATCAATAGATACGCTTCCACCATTGGAAGAATATCGATTCCTCGCCGATTTGATATACAAAAGTTCACTGGAAGCACAAAAAAGAAAAGTTCCAAGTGCGCCCTTCAAAAGGAGACCAGCCACACCTGGATGGGACGAAGAATGCACAAAATTGTATGTAGAAAAATCTGATGCTTTCAAAGCTTTTCGTAGACACAAAACTTCCACATATTTCGAGGAATATTCAAAGCTTGAGACAAAGCTGAAACAATTAGTCAAAGAAAAGAAACGCGGTTATTGGCGCAATTTCGTCGAGGGACTCTCACGAGAAACCTCAATGAACACCTTGTGGAGGGTGGCTCGGAACATGCGTAACCGCTCATCTTCTAATGAGAGTGAAGAATACTCCAACCGATGGATATTCGATTTCGCTAAAAAGGTCTGTCCGGACTCAGCTCCAGCACAACACATTCTTCGAGAAGCGTCTCCGAGCGGCAGCTCTCTGGATAGACCATTCACAATGCTGGAATTCTCTATGGCTCTTCTTTCATCGAACAACTCCTCACCGGGAAGCGATATGATTAAATTCAATCTTCTGAAAAATCTCCCAGATATCGCTAAAAGACGCTTGCTAGACTTATTCAATTCCTTGCTAGAAAACAACATTGTACCGCCTGAATGGAGACAGGTCAAAGTAATAGCCATTAAAAAACCTGGCAAATCAGCGTCTGACCATAACTCATACCGTCCGATTGCTATGCTTTCGTGCATTAGGAAATTGTTGGAGAAAATGATCCTTCGGAGACTCGATCAGTGGGTCGAAACAAATAACTTGCTATCAAATACACAGTTTGGGTTCCGCAAGAGCAAAGGAACAAACGATTGTCTAGCGCTGCTTTCCTCAGATATTCAACTGGCCTTTGCGCACAAGGAGCAATTGGCTTCAGTATTCTTGGACATTAAGGGGGCTTTTGATTCAGTTTCCATTGAAATTCTGTCAGACAATCTGCACAGATGTGGACTTTCTGGAATTTTAAATAATTTCTTGTACAATTTGTTGTCAGAAAAGCAAATGAACTTTTCCCTTGGACAACTGACAACTTCCTGAATTAGCTACATGGGCCTACCCCAAGGCTCATGTCTCAGCCCTCTTCTTTATAACTTTTATGTCAAAGATATCGACAACTGTTTGGCAGAACAATGCACGCTAAGACAACTTGCAGATGACGGTGTGGTTTCCGTAAGAGGTCCACATGCCATGGACTTGCAAGGACCATTGCAAAGTTCCTTAGATAACTTGTCTTCTTGGGCTAGGAATCTAGGGATCGAATTCTCGCCGCAGAAAACTGAACTGGTAGTGTTTACTCGAAAGCGGTACCCAGCCCAAATGCAACTTAATCTTTTGGGCAGAAACATTACTCAATCATTGTCTTTCAAGTACCTTGGGGTCTGGTTTGATTCAAAGTGCACTTGGAATACCCATATTACGTATTTGAAGCAAAAATGTCAGCAGAGGATCAACTTTCTCCGTTCAATTTGCGGCACATGGTGGGGTGCTCATCCGGGAGACCTCATAACGCTTTATAAAACAACAATTCTCTCTGTTCTAGAGTACGGCTCTTTCTGCTTTCTCTCGGCAAGAAAATGCCACCTTATAAAATTGGAACGAATTCAATATCGTTGTCTGCGTATTGCTCTTGGCTGTATGCATTCAACGCATAACATGAGTCTCGAGGTTCTGGCAGGAGTAAAACCCCTCCAGAACCGTTTCTGGGAGCTCTCTCTCAGAATACTAATCAAATGCGGAGTGACGAACACACTTATAATTGCAAATTTTGAAGAAATTTTTGAGCTGAACACACAATCTCGATTTATGAGAATCTACCACCACTACATATCCTCGGATATGTGTCTTCCTTGTTATACTCCAGACCGTGCTCACTTCACCAATCGCAGTTCCTCAATTGAATATGATCTATCCATGAAACAAGTGATTCACGGGATTCCAGATCAACTTCGAACTATTATTATCCCACGTATTTTTACTGAAAAGTACCAACACGTCAATTGCGTGAACAGATATTTTACAGACGGGTCTCGTCTCAGTGGATCCACTGGCTTCGGTGTCTTCAATGAAAACTCTAGCGCCTTCCGCAAACTTCAGGAACCTTGTTCCGTTTATGTTGCTGAGCTGGCGGCAATCAACTTCGCTTTGGGGATGATTTCCAACATGCCCGCAGACCATTACTTCATCTTCTCGGATAGTCTCAGTTCTATTGAGGCTATTCGGTCGATGAAACCAAGTAGGCACTCATCTTATTTCCTTTCAAAGGTAAGGGAGCAGATGAGTGTGCTGGTCGAAAGATCATATATGATTACCTTTGTATGGGTCCCCTCACATTGCTCAATCCCAGGCAATGAGAAGGCGGACTCTCTCGCAAAGGTGGGCGCGCAGGAAGGCGAATTTTATGACAGGCAAATTTCACACGATGAATTTTACCATTTAGTGCGTCAGAGTACCCTTTCGAGTTGGCAAACCGATTGGGACAATGGAAATCTTGGACGGTGGTTACATTCAATTATTCCTAATGTTTCTTCGAGAGCGTGGTTTAAAGGCTTGGGCTTAAGTCGTGACTTCATTCGCGTGATGAGTAGACTTATGTCCAACCACTACTCGCTAGATGCGCATCTCAATAGAATAAACCTCGTGGACAGCAACATATGTCGGTGTGGAAACGGTTACGACGACATCGATCACGTAGTTTGGCAATGTACGGATAATGACGCCGCCAGAGAGCGACTTTTGAATACCCTCGAGGCCCAAGGAAGACAACCCTATATTCCTATCAGAGACGTGTTGGGTACCCGCGATCTCTGCTATATGCAGTCGATTTATGTGTTTCTGCAAATGTCTAGTATAAGAATTTAATTCGTTTGTCTTTTGTCTCTCTTTATTAGTTTTTGTTTGTCTTGTCCCCCGTCTCGATGAGTCTCATCGTCGCCCACTGGTCACCATAGCCGGTCGAACTCCAGACGAATCTAGAACCACACTACCGTTCATACTGGCGACATCACTCTGATGAGACAACGAAACCCTACCCAAGCTCCTCCCCTTTTCCTATCCTTCGACAATGTACCCCTCTAACCTCGAGTAAGCCGCGAGTAATCGGCCCAACTCCTACTAGACATAGAATTAAGTGAATTTTGTTACAAACAAAGAACAATGAATTATCGGCTCCGTAAAGCTAACGCGATTGAGCCTTACAAATAAACGAACTAGATAAAAAAAAAAAATCGTTCAGTATGGCACCGGAAATCCTCCGTAAATGGTATATGATTATGCGGGAAGAACATATTGTCATCACAAGGAATTTCTTTCGAATTGAAAATCACAATCATTTCCAATGAAGCAAACTAGCTTTTTATCAATCTTCTAAATTCCTCCCCTCAATCATGCTCCATTAATTCGTTCTCGCAGCATACTTCACCACCACCATCTTACCATGTTCATCGCTGCAGTGCTTCTTGTAATCTTTGAAAACGTTGAACTCCGCCTTACAATTTTCGCAAGTAAACAGCTTCGCTCCGGTATGTTGCCTCTCGTGCAGCCGGAGATCCCTATTTCGGACGAAACCCTTATTGCACACCTCGCACAGAAACGGCCGAATTCCCCGATGTACCGTTTGCTCGTGCCGCTGCAAATCCGGCTTGTGTGCGTAGGCTCGCTTGCAACCCTCGTACGAACATTTGTACTTCCGTTCACCGTTATGCATCTCCGATATTTTGAAATGCCTCCGGAGAGTTTTCAGGTCCCGGAACTTGTACCGCTTGCCCGCCTTCTTGCACGATTCACATTCATGCGTTTCGACTTTGTTGTGAATGCGCCAGTGGTGCCACAGATTCTCCTTGCTTTTGAACTGCTTGTCGCAAATGGAACAAACATTATCGCTCGGTTTGTCATGTCCTAGTTCCTTGTGCCGCTGCAAATTGGTTTCGCTCACAAAAGCTCGACCACATTCATCGCACTTGAAATCTCGTCGTACCGGAACGTTGGAATGAACCTGTCGTACGTGACTCTGAAGCTGAAAGGTCGAAGCGAATGCTGATCCGCATTGTTCGCAGACGATGTCTTTCGCCTTCACCAGACGATGCCGTTTCAGCGCACGGCGAGATCCGAAGTTACAATTGCAGATCGAGCATACGTGGGTGGATTTCTTTCGTCGGAGTTCATTCTCCAACTGTTTGACCTGATGAACTCGGTCGACATGTTCCAGGAGGGATTGTTTGGTCTCGAATACTTCGAGACATTTTCGGAAACAACAACGGCGATCGCTGAGGATTCCAGGTGCTTTAGGTGATTTCTTATCGACGGGAGAGCTTGTAGGGAGCTTATGGTCTCGACTCCTGAGATGAAATCGAGCAAATATGATACTTCCGGTACGGTAAGTGCAAAACTCTCGTTTGCAACGATAGATTGCCTCCACATTGATACCATTCAGATGAGATTGATATCTGTGTTCATGTTTGAATATTTGGTGGCATTTCGTGCACCAAAAGCTTCCCGTTTTCAAGGCGTCTTCCTCAGTCTTTGGTCTATTCGGATGATGTGCGTCCTTGTAATGCTTATCAAGTTGAGTTTCATCGCGAAACATTTGATAACAATCACAGCACAGGTGGCCTTCGACCGACACTTTTTCGAACGATTCAGTAACTTTGTCAAAATCCATCATCGGTTTCTTGTGGATCACCGAAAATTCCATATGTCGATCGATAGCCGCCTGATCTCGACAGATGTACCGACATAGCTTACAGGAAAATAGTTTTGGAATGCTCCGTTGATTCATGTGCCGCATTTGAATGTTCAGACTACGGAATTGTTTGTGACACAACGGACAATGGGTGCCATCCGGTGATTCATCCAAATGATGTTGCTCTTGGCAGTGTTCCTCCAAATCCACCTGCGAAGAGAAGTACTTCTCACATCCACAGCACGCAACACCATTGTAGTAGACAATTTGGAAATTCTCGTGATCCTCAAGCTCCACAATCATCTCTTTCGGAGGCAAGACCTGAATCGTTCTTCTTGACAGCGAAATATTGGTCGGAAGATTTCCTCCATCATTCTCCGCAGTTAAAGTAATCTCTTCATACTGCACCGAACTATCCGACGCCTCCGTTATCATATCGGACACATGTTCAGAAATGGTGATAAGATCGTCTTCCTCAGTCTGATCAATTGCAACCATTTCGTCATCCTCCTGAGAGTCTACTTCTTCGACCATAACTTCGCCGCCATCCACCGTAACCACCTCAACGGGAACCTTATCCACTAGATGCATCAAGCTTTCCCCAACGGAATCCTCATCTGCAGAAAATTGTTCCTGTTCGATAATCTCATCAAACAGCTCATCCTCTCGGCGCATCATCAGATCCACCAGGATTTCGTTTTGGGCCTTCGGTTTCGCCGTTGGCAGTTCAATCAGATCGTCAACAATCCGGTCCGGTATCTGCTGATCTCCGTCAGCATCGAGCTGCTGGAGTTGTTCGGTGAATCTCAATCGATCACGTAGTTTTTCATCAGACAGGCGGCATTTGAGGCAGAATTGATAGGCCTCCAGCAGCTGCTGGCAGCAGATTGTGCAGATGATCTTGGGAAGTTGATCATCGTTGGTGATCTGTTGTGGGGATAGATGTAGGATTTTGATTGAAGGGCTGCTTTTAAGTTTATTGAAATTGGAAACCGGTTAGACTTACTACAAATGCAAAGGCGTGGTGCTCATGCTAGCTAGAAGAAAGTGCCTAAGTTTGTTGTGATTAAATCAAACGATAATTTAATGCATGCTTGGATTAAAAACTGAAAAATCGCTAGTTAAAAGTGTTAATCTAATCGAAACGGCATGCTGCAGATTCCAGATATCAATTTTAATACATTGCTGTTATGTTTTCGGAAAATTACTAATTCATTAGCCCTTTGTTTACCGACGAACCGACATGCCACTGGTGCGTTTCTGTTGAGATTTAAGCAAGCAGTTGATTTCAACACTGTATATAAGTATAAGGAACTGGTTGCTAAGCATACATAAATAACAAATACATAGCAACCACCAGCTATAAAACTGGACAGGTAGCACAAGCAATTTAGTCGATCATTCTCTGCTTGATCGTCAAGCAGTTCAGTTCGGTGTTAGCTCGCTCTCTCGAGTTGTTTGAAAAGTTTATTGCGATAGTGTTCGCGCTCTCTCTTTCGCGGTTTGTCGTGCGTGTGTGTGTGCCCCGTAATGGGGAAGCATCGGTCGCGAAGCCCGGCGAAGGTCCAGAACCCCGGAGAAGGAAGCTCCGGTGTGCCTACCTCGAACAGGTTTGCTGTTCTCCCCATGGATGGGAATATCCAGCCAGCTGTGTTGGAAAAACGCAGTAAGAAGAGGAAGAAGAATCGAGGCCAGTCCGATGTCACTGCGACGAACAACAGCGATGTTGGAGATTTCGGTGACGCTGCCGAAACCGTGAATACTGCCGAAATGAGCTCGGCAAAAGTGAAGCTACCTCCATTGGTAGTGAAAAATGCCCATCTTAATGTGCTCATTGCGGATCTAGCGACGCTGGGTGTTAAAGCCGAATACAAGTTGGGCAGAGTCGGCACTAAAGTGATGCTCCGTACCAAAACGGAGTTTGACGTGGTCGTCGCCCACCTGAGGACTTCCAAGGTGGAATTCTTTACCCACGACATTCCCGGTGAGAAGCCGTTCAAGGTCGTCATCAGGGGCCTACCAAACTTCGACCCGAAGTTTATCGAATCAGAAATCAGGGACCGGTACAAGCTGGCCCCAAGTGCCGTGTATCGAATGACAAGAAGAGACGAGAATGTGAAGGCGTATCCGGATAGCCTTTTCCTGGTACACTTCCAGAAGGGAACGGTGACGCTCAACGCACTGAAAGCCATCCGGTCCATCAATTCCATCATCGTTCGCTGGGAGCCATACCGTGGCGGCCATCGCGATGTGACTCAGTGCCAGCGGTGTCTGAACTTCGGACACGGTACCCGCAACTGCAACATTAAGCCACGCTGCGGAAATTGCGCTCAAGACCATGCCACCTCCGAATGTGCTGCGGATGAAGCTGTGGCGTCCAAATGCGCCAACTGTGGTGGTGCTCACCAAGGATCCAACAAGCAGTGCCCTAAACGCGAGGATTTCAAGCGCATCCGAAATCAAGCGTCCACCAACAATCAACCAGCACGAAGGAAGGATAAGGCCCCGGCTTTCAGGACAGAGGACTTTCCACCTCTTCGTGGACAAGCGAATCCCAGGGTGCGATCCACGCCCCCTCAAGAAACGTCTGGATCTTCTGCTGGACAAAGCTCTCCATCCCCCCCTGGATTCTGGAGGCAACCAACAGCTCAAACAAACAATCCCGATCTGTTCTCAGCAGACGAACTGATGGAGATTTTTATCAACATGACCGGTGCTCTACGTAAGTGCCGCAATAAGCCCGAACAGATCCAAGTGCTCGGTAAGTTCATCATCCAATATGGTGTCTAAACCGCTAACCATCGCTACCTGGAACGCTTGCTCTGTAAGAGCTAAACAGATTGAGCTTGCCGACTTCCTCCGCAAGCATAGCATCGACGTGGGTCTTCTAACCGAAACCCACCTAAAGTTCGGTGACAGCTTCTGGTTGCCTGACCACAACATTATCCGGCTTGATCGCACCAGCTCCAGGGGGGGGGGGTGTAGCGGTCATCGTCAGAAAGGGAATCAAGTTTTTCACTCTGCCTCACATCCGCACTTCTATCATCGAGGCCATTAGTGTGGAGGTGGAATCACCAACTGGAAACGTCCGGTTCATCGCTGTTTACTGCCCACGCCAGTGTACCGCAAGCAACGGATTAGGAATCCAATTCAAGAAGGACCTGACCGCCATCACCCGTACTAGCTCCCGATTCATCGTTGGGGGCGACCTGAACGCCCGCCATGAAGCTTGGCGGAACTACCAGAGGAACCGAAACGGATGTCTATTGTTCGACCACGCACAACATGGACTGTACACAGTGCAATTTCCGGACGAACCAACTTTCATCTCTCCGGCGGGAAATCCCTCCACGCTAGACTTTTTCCTGTCAAACATCGGACTATCCAAGCCGGAGGCGCACAACGATCTCAGCTCCGACCACCAACCGGTGGTGACTGAAGTCGGTGTCAACGTGGTTCCTGCTAGAGGCTGCCTGCGTAAAGACTACCACCATGTCAACTGGGTGCAGTACGGTCGAATGGTGGACAGCAACATCGATGAAAATCCACTGCTCGACACCGTAGATGACATCGACCGGGCGTTGGAAGGACTCCAACAGGCCATATCCGAGGCTGACGAGACATGCGTTCGACAAGTTCCTGTGAGGGGTAAGTTTGTTGCTATTGATTCCCACACCCAATTATTGATTCGATTGAGAAATGTGCGTAGACGCCAGTTTCAGAGGACTGGAGACCTGGGCAAAAAACGTGAAATGGCCGATCTGAACAGGCAGATTGCTTCCAGAATGGACTCACTCCGAAATGAAAGTTTCGGGCGTGTTGTCCAGAATCTGGACGACCGCTCCAGACCATTCTGGAAGGTAGCCAAGGTCCTGAAAATCATCCCAAACCCGTTCCACCTCTCAAAGTCGAAAATGATGACGATCGGCTTTTAATTACCCCACAGGAGAAAGCAAATGCGATCGGCAAGCATGTCGCTTCATCGCATTTGCTTGGCTCGACTATCCAAAGTCCGCTCGATGATCAGGTTGCGCAATGCGTTCAAAACCTAGATGCCTCCCCTTGTGTCGTGCCTCCGGCGGATATGATTACAGTACAACAAATTTGCTCAGCGCTGAAATGCACCAAGAACATGAAGGCTCCCGGGTTTGACGGTATATTCAACTTGATCTTGAAGAGACTCAGCATGAAAGTGCAGTCTCTTCTAACCGCTATCTTCAACAGATGTTTGGAACTGCACTACTTTCCAAGCATCTGGAAAGTAGCAAAAATCATACCGATCCGCAAACCCGGTAAGGATCCAACATTGTCTTCAAGCTACAGACCAATCAGCCTCCTTTCAGCGCTGAGCAAATTGTTCGAGAAACTCATTCTCAATCGTTTGCTCAAGTTTGTCGAGGAAAATAACATTCTCCTTCCGGAACAGTTTGGGTTCAGAAAGGGGCACTCCACCAATCACCAGCTAGTACGGGTGATGAATAACATCCGAAGTAACAAAGCTGTATCCAAGTCCACAGCCATGGCCTTGTTAGACGTTGAAAAGGCGTTTGACAATGTTTGGCATGATGGACTTGTGTACAAGCTTTGTAACTTCAACTTTCCTTTACATCTTATTAAAATCACCCGTAACTACCTCCAGCAAAGGTCGTTTAAGGTATCGTTGAATGGTTGTCTTTCCGACACGTTTTCCATCCCAGCAGGAGTCCCGCAAGGCAGTCTGCTGGGACCCTTGCTTTACAGCATTTACACTTCCGACATTCCTCCCCTTGGAGACGGTTGCGTGTTTTTCCTGTTCGCAGATGATACCGCAATAGCCGTCAAAGGAAGGATGCCTCGCGAAATAACGAACAAACTTCAACGATGCCTTAACGCTTTTGCTGATTATGCCACCACGTGGAAAATCAAAATCAATGCCTCCAAAACACAAGCGATCATGTTCCTCCATCGGCAATCGCCCAAACTGAAACCGGCTCCCTCTTGTACTGTAATCATGGATGGCACAAGGGTTGAGTGGTCCGCCGAAGTAACCTATCTCGGGATGTTGTTTGACGAAAAGCTCCTATTCCGCTCGCATGTGGAGAAAACCGTAGTCAAGTGTTCCGCCTTGGTTAGGTGTCTGTATCCGCTGATTTGCCGCAGATCCCGCCTCTCAAGGGTGAACAAACTGGCCGTCTACAAACAAATCATAGCACCTGCGATCCTCTACGCAGCTCCGGTGTGGGAATCATGTGCACAGACTCACAGGAACAAAATTCAGGTCGCTCAGAATAGAGTGCTGAGGATGGTTCTTGATCGTCCTTTCGACACTAGAATAACAAATTTACATGAAGAGGCAGGCATTGCCAAAATAGATTCCAAAGTTAACGAAATTAAGACTAAATTTGCACAAAAATGTAATTTATCAGAACATGCTTTGATAAGCAATTTGTATATAGTAGGTTAGGTGTACATAGTAGTTGTAGGTTAGTTGTAGTTGTAAATAGTAGTTATAAGTAGTCTCATTTTTCCAATTCAAATCAAACCAATCCCACCAAGGTGGTCATACTTTAAAATAGGCCTGATAGGACTAGGAACTGTAAATAATAATTAAAATCTCAAATGTACTAAAGTTGAAAAGACGCATCTGTGTCACTTAAAAAATTCATACATGTAAACCACACAATCACAAGAAATAAAGATCATTTAAAATGGCAAGCAATTTAGTCAGTAATAAATTACCACCCGTACGATACAAATCTTGTTTTTCTATACCTAGGTTATGGGCCCAGTCACACCATACCTAAGAGTAAAGTAGAAGTTCTCGAAGCCGTTCCAGTTCCAGATCCAGGATGACCAGTGCAAAGAAAGCAGGAATCGTGCAGTTTGCCGGTGAGGGCTACGACACGTGGCGGTTTCCTGTGGAGATGCAGCTTTCAGCTCAAGGAGTG